AGTAAAACTTGTCTAAAACAGACTTTCTATAAAACGGAAACCTGTGTAAACGGAAAATAATTCTCTAAACGGATTTTCTATATAAAATTTCTATTATAAATTGGAATTCTGTCTAACGCAGAAACGAAAAAGTTTCTGCGTTACTTTTAGACAGGACTTTTAGACAGAATTGCAGAATTTTAAAGGACTTTTAGACAGAATTGATTGAAAGAACTCGATTAAAGCGGAATATTTTGGTATAACAGCAACCAAATTATAACTTGAGAGCTCAGGCCGTGGTTCAGAGTCATAGTCTATTTTATATTTTTCTTGATTAAGATTATACAGAATCCTCTATTAAACAGAAACTTGCAAAAACGGAAAATTCTGGCCGTCGTGTTCCGTTTTAGTCAGTTAAACAAGTTTTACTATATTAATAAAATGATTATTATATTTTAAAATTTAATTTAATTTAATTTAATTTCTATATTTCCAATATGTGTTTTTAAAATACGGTTTTGACGTTCTGAAAATTTAACAGTAAATTTTTAATAATCAATACGCTACAACAGAACAGTAACTGATCATCTTTTAATAAACAGGAATTTTTACAATTATCGTAGAAAAATGAATTATGTACGATTATATATATTATAGATGTAAATTATAATTACTTGATTTGAATATAATTAGAAACATGCACTAAATATGATTGAACATTAATAATGTTATTAGCCAAATCAATATCTGGTAGATGTAAAAATCATTAAATCTCATAGCTGTTACTAGAATGTTTACCATCTCTTAAAATTCTTAAGACAACCAGAATTAAATATTTTAAAAAAATTTTCAGGAAAATCCATTTACGTTATGATTTGTGAGAAATATATTGATCATATTTCATAAAGTATCGATTTTATTTAATCTCTTAAAGCCATATTATCAAGTCTCTAACCAAATTTAGGTAAGAAAAATTTTTAGATTTTGACTCAAAATTTTTGTGTCAAACTTTACTAATTTTAAATAATATATTTATAGATTAAATAGAAACTTGAAATATAAATAAGTACTAGCTATTAGTTAATTAATATTCGTTTCGTATATAGATTATATTTATAAATAAATAAAACTTTTTTGGTTGATTTAATGTTGGTTTGATTTAGTTCAAACAACAGATGTTTATCGAAGACATTATTAAAACTACTTATTACTTTCCTGGCTGTTATAAAATATTACGTGGAGGAAGTATGGAGATCGATGAAATTTTGATCCGTGGTTTTGTTTTTGTTTTCATTTCATTATGTTTTGACACCAGCCTAAAAATGTAAAAGCAGAAATATCTTTATAAAAAAGATAGGGAGATAAAGAAGTCGTGTCATATCTCTGGAGTGAGGTTAGATTTAATAAAAATTGTACTCGTTACTGGCATTTATAATTTGTTTAGAATTTCACTTCTACTCCAAAAACTTTTGACGCCGGATGCTCGAGCTAACCGCTCGAGCATCCGGCCGTCAAAAGTTAAGGTTAAGGCTGTGTACACATAAGGCGCTTTGCGTTGCGTTAAACGCGCGTCAGCAGCGTACACACCGCGCGTTAGCTCGGCGTTCGATGACCGTTTAGTGGAGAATGAGCACTGGCTCAGTTTGGAAATGGACGTGAAAGTAATTGCTTGTGTGTGCCTCCTCCATCGTCGCTATAAAAGACGATGGCAGAGGCAAAGAGAATTTTGGGTGCACCCAAAATTACGAGATAGACTGACGCATGGAATGTTTGTGACGTTGTATCCAAAACTAAGACAATATGAACCCAAATTTTTTAATTCTTTTAGAATATCTATAAAATCATTTGACGATGGCTGGTCTCTTTTAGATTTCATCAATTAATAGATCAGTATCGAAATGATCGTTCTCCATTTCGGCCAACGTACGTCCATTCTACCCGAAAGCGCGCGATCGAATGTACAGTACAACAACATGGCAGCACATATATCTCAAAGCGCGCGGCTGACGCCCGCGAAACGCGCGTTCTAACAAAAATCTATCAACGCGCGTTTGACGCGCGCTTGGCAAGAAGCACGCGTTTGAGTATATATACATATGCAGAACTCTTGGTTCTTTAAAACTCGCGTTTAAAAACGCCTAATGTGTACACAGCCTAAGATGGCAACCTATTGCTCTGGGACTCAGGAGCGAATCCGGACGAGTCGAAAAATCCCAGCAATTTTTCGAGAAATGGTCCTATCCCTATCATTTGATCGCACCATTTTGAGCCTGGCCGAACCCATAATAGATTTATTAGTGCCTACAGAGCGGAAATAATTAAAAAGCAACTAAAAAGCAACCAAAAACAACTCTTGCTTTTAAAATAATTATACATATAAGAATTATTTTGTAATAAAATTTCATAACAGATGGCTTCACACAATTTTTAACTATTCGTTTTTCGAGAAATATAAAAATTTATCACAATTCAACAGAAATTCTTCTTTTAAGCTTTTATATCGTAGTTAATCTGAAAATTATCGGACTTCCTGATCTGTTTGAATGCAGGAAAAGGTGTACAAAAGCCCTTATCAGCTTTTTTAAAAATAATTTTTTAAAAAGCTGATAAGGGCTTTTGTACTAATAATACTAACCGCCGATAATACTATAGTATTAACGGCGGTTTTAAAAATAATACTATAGTATAGTATACTATAGTATTATCGGCATCGATCTGTATATAGTCTATATATGGGAAATCGGCTCAATGACAAAGAATAAGAAGAATTTCTCATTGTCGAATTTTGAGCGTTTCTACTCCTAACTTTTGTAGTATGGTATAAAATAAAAGTAAGTTGTGTAAAAATATGTATCTTGAGAGGAGAACAATTTATCGATATTTTTGCATCAATATTTTTGTATTGGGGATATATCTCCTCTGTCCTGTGAATAGAACTGAGATCGGATCAAGTTTTAACGCGATAACTTTTATTTTAAAATTTTCATATAAATTATACTATACTGGAGTGAAGAAATAATACCGTTTTTACATAATTTTCGAAAATATTGCCTTTCAAAATTTGTAATTCCACTTCAATTTGACACAAATTAAGCTTTATTTCGAGCTAAATCAATTACAATAATAGTTGTACCGGTAACACGACGCAATTGCTAACGGAAAAGTATGATGTACAGGGGCAAGACACTACTTGAGGTAGAGAGCAAATATTTTAAAATTAAAAATATGAGTAAAAATTGAAGTCTGGTATTGTAACGATGTCAATAAATAATTGTTTAATTATAACAAATTAGTATGAAGTTTGTTGCGTCATGTTTTATTTTATTTTATTATTAATTATTTTATAAAATCATTCAATAAATATATAATATAAAACTATAGACATATTTTTAATTAACTGTATGGATTAAATGATTGTTCCGCATAATTTGTAGAAATACTGTAGTAATAAAACAAGTTTATTAGTTAAGTTTAGATTTAAAATTTTTACTGTATATTGAATTTGTATTTTGTACTTTAAACTTTTTTGTGGTTAATAACTTTTAATGTAGAAGTTATTTATATTTGTTTTCACAAATATGTCCATACGTATGGTCTGAGAGAAGAGAGCTATGACCAGGATAGTCTTAAATGAACATTTTAAAATCCCTTTTACGTCATTTTTTTGTACCAAAAAAATTAATTAGTCATTTTTTTGTACCAAAAAAATTAATTAATTAATTAATTAATTAAATTGAATTTTAAGGATCACTCTAAATCCAGAACCTTGACAAATGACTGCTGTTCCTTCATCTATATAAGCCTTTGTGTTTCATATTCATGATTCTTATATAACACTGAAAATTTCACCTAGGTCGCATGAAACTTTATCATTAAATTCAGAACAAAGCTGTACAGATATATAAGTTTTTTCTTCGTTTCTTGCCTTTAATTACTTAATTTGCTTGTTTAATTTACGCTTCTTAAAATATTAAGAAATAGTAATAATAACTTAAGCATTTTTGATTCAATAAACAAATGAAAGAAAAAGCATACATATTTATTTTTTTAATGATGAAAAATGTAATATATTGATGTATACTAATAAATGTATTTGCCACATAAAATGAGTTCCCATGACATTAATAAAACTAATACGAATAACTTGCACGTGAAGTACTTTGAATATAAATATATTGATATAAAATTATCACTTTTTAACAAAAATATTAATTTAATAATAAACTATTTAAAAATAAATAAGTAAAACTGTAATATTATATTATATTACTATCAGACCCCGCCACGCATTGTTGTGGCTCAAAATGTACCCATTATAAATGTATAACACTTCCCCCGTGGGGGGAGAAATTTTTCGAAAAATTTCTTCTTAGTGTACATTCTCTTGACGTACCCTATTAAAACGCAATCAAAAACGCAAAAACCCGCATCTAAAATAATATAATATAAGCCAAGTTTTTCACAGTAAGCCTTAATTCTGTCCCTCTCCCCCGCGGGAGAATATCGAAAAATCCCTTCTTAGTGTACATTCTGTTGACGTATCCTATTAAAACGCAATCAAAAACGCAAAAAAACCGCATCTAAAATAGTATAAATAGAAGCAGAGTTCTTTACGGTAAGCCTTAATCCTAACCATCTCCCTTCAGTGGGGGGAACTTCGACACTTATATTATATAAAAAGACGTGCGTATTCGAATGCAGCGTTGTGTGAAAATTTCAAATGAGTCGGTAGGAACAAACGAACATTACATTTTTATTTATATAGATAGACAGAAGATGATCCGCTTTAGTTCATTTTCACAGAAAAGCATAATGCCTCACAGAAAAGCAAACTTAGGGCGTCATACTCGTAGCGCCATCTGTTGGACATAAAAGCCTTAATCTAGATTATATTTTTTAATTTATATGAATGTTTATCGGAATAATATACAGCCTATGTCCACCCTGAGGTTCCATTTTAATTAAATATTGGTGAAAAAATTTTTGAAATCGGATGAGTAGTTTCGGAGATTACCTGCTGCAAAGAAACTTACATACATACATACATACAAACATTACCTCTTTATAATATTAGTATAGATTTCTTCGGTCCTTCATAAATGTGAAAAAGCGTTAAGCTTTCTTTAGCAGTTATTTATTTCTGATTTTCAAAAAAAACGTATAAATTTTCTCTCCCTTTGTTTTCGCAATGACAGTTACCGATTGGATAACACGTGCCAGCTGCGGGTTATTGAAGACAAATTTTAATATCTGATCGGATTCTGTTGCTGACTTTCTTTTCTTTAGTGCAAAACGATTCCATATAAACAACCAATTGTCTTAATTAATCATAAAAACTACTTAGTTACGTATGAATGTGTGAATCTGTATATTAAGACCAAAACATGTATAGGATCATACATAATCGTAATGAAAGCCGCGTCCAAAAATAATCCGAATGAAAATATAAGTCAAGAAAAGGAAATTGAACCAGCATATCCTAGAAATGTGGTGGAGACAGAAGAATAGAAAATTACCAAAACCATAAAGAAGACCGAAGGACTATTCACAAGGTTTTTATTGGACTTGTTTAGTATTGTTGTGTTACTGTCCTAATGATAATTTAGAGCCCTATTAATAAGGTGTATGTAATAATTTGTACTATTAACGTATATGATAATGTTGGCGATTGTCATCATAGACTCTGTTTTTTGTAGATCATCCAATTGATAAAGACCAATAAAGCCAAAATGCATTTTGGATAAGTTAATTAAATAGGTTGGTGTGTAATAAGCCTGTTCATTAGTCATAAGTAACTAAGTAGTTTGTATAACCAATAATGTTGTTTATACTGTCTCTAAAAATTTTTGGATCCGTTATTGAAGAATAAATGCGATTTCTATCATACCGATACTAATTCATCTTTACATTTCTGTGTATATAAGTATTGTCTACTTGGACTTTTGTTTATTAATAGGACTCTTCGTTAATCAGAAACTTCACCAGTATAATAAGTCCTATTAATAAACAAAGTCCAAGTAGACAATATATACATAGAAATGTAAAAAGTAAGGACAAAGAGGTAAAAAGAACTAATTTATCTTTATTCCAGTTAATGTTTATACTGTAGTTTAACTTAGCCTATATAGACTATACTGTATATACTATAACCAAACAATTAAATAAAAATTAATGATATTTGAAATACTTTACTAACATTTGTTTTTATTTATTTTTAGATAATTTGCATTTGAAAGTATGCCAGATATAGAAGTGTGTAAATGTTTGAAATCTTCTCGCAATGAAATCGTTTTCAAATGTTGGTATTGTCTAACAAAGAGTATTCATAGCAGATTAAGTTGGGCAGGTTTAAGTTTTAATAAACTTGATAAAAAAATCTATTATTATGATTTAACCGTATTTTTTCTTTTATTTTCTTCTACAATATTTTACTTAATCCTTATTATAATGAATATCTTCAATTGTGAGAACTCTCTTAGATTCGCTTTATATAAAGTTTTCGGTAAGAATTATAATGATGTAATGTTTTTACTTTTCGACATAGCACTTCTTTCTACAATTTTCTCCTATTTGTTTAATTTTACCTCTTTACCTTCAAAATCTGAAAGGCAAATTAGTACATTGTGGTTGAGAACGTTTGATCATGCAACACTTTCACATTCACTCCAAACGTATAGAATATTATTAAAAATAGAAAGAACATTTTCTAAAATTATCATTCCCGTTTTTCTATTTTCATGTGTTATCGTTGTATTAATGGCTATATATAATGTTAACAAAGTCTTTGTGAAATACATATCCAAGCTTTCGATTCTGTGTATTTATGCCCACTTTTTCCTGTGTTGTAATGCAATTTGCTTCTTAGTAATGGCAGAATTAAATTATGGAATTTTAATTTGTATTATTTTAAAAAGAAAATTTGATGAAGTTCGTCATCATTTTCAATATATTTTAAATAATTTAACTGAAATTTATAATGTGAAAGCTATTCAGTTTCGTCACCATCTTGTTTCTTTGCTTGTACAAGCAACTGATATCATGTTTCAATGGATTTTATTTCTTTTATATACTTTAGTTGTTCCTTTGATGTTTATTGGTTTAAAAAGTTTCTTTCACGATAAAGAAATGTTTGTTAAAATAATTATTTATTTCTTCTCTATATTTTCACTTTTTGGAATTTGTGGGTTTACAGTTTTAGCAGGTTATGTAAATGTTGCTGTAAGTATTTTAAATATATTTTTTGTATATTTTTCTAAAATAATAATTATCGCAAATTTATAAAGGCTCACAGCATTCGTGAAGTTGTTATCGAATTGTGCGATGAAGAAATACCCACTGATATACGTCTACAGGTAATTGTGTACTGCAGTTTAATTAATTTATTATGTACTAAAATACAAATAAATTTTAAATTTATTGTTTTTAATTAAATCTGTGTTTAGAGAGATTATGATATTCTCAGTGATCGAAATTGATTGAGATTTTTATTTTATAATTACTTGATCTGGAAGATATCCTATTTTTATTCTTTTAGATATTCAAAATTTGATTTATTTTTATAGTTTTAATATCTGAATATTTTATTCTACAGCTCAACATATTTTTAGGAAGATTAAAAGGTTCGCCTATTGGATTAACGTGCTTAGGGATTTTTGTTGTTACACCAAATACATTATCTAGTGTAAGTATTTTTCGAAAGATTCTGCTAGAATCTGACAATTATTTAAAATTTTTTATTTTATTTTAGATATTTAGTTTACTTCTGACATATCTTCTTATGTATTATCAATATGAAGAAACAAATAAATGATACTTGTATATAGTTTATTAAAAGTAAGTATTTACTATTTAAAGTTGAATTCGCGTTAGTAGCCTGTTAAATAATAAGATTTAGAATATTATTTTAAGAAAATTCTCTGAATAAACCAATAAAAGAGAATATATCTACAATGTTTACAGCAAATTGTTGTTTTAATAAATATTATGCTATAACTAGTCAAAATTTTATTGGGTTGCAATATGAAAAAATTGCAGATCTTTAAATCCCCAGTCATCTATCTGTCTGTCTTTCTTTAATCTCAAGAATGGAGTTAGATAGATGTAATCCAGATATAGAAATCGTAGGAACAGGAGGCCCTGATTAACTATATAAGAACTTCCGATGTAAATTGAAAGTCAAATTATTTCAATTGAAAAACTGAAAACAGTTAATAGATGACTGCACGACTCTATTGTTAAAGTAAAAGTATGATGTAAGTACAGGGGCAAGACACTACTAAAAATTTGAGGTGGAGAACATATATTTTAAGTGAAATAAATTAAAAATATGATTAAAAATTACAGCCCGGCATTGTGACGATGTCACAATAAATAATTGCTTATTCTCTTATAGATTCTCTTTCCTCTTCACCACAATAAAGGATTCAAAGGTGTACTCTGTCATATAATCAGGGGCGGATCTACATAGGGACTAATAGGGCTTAAGCCCTGGGCCCCAAGTGTTAAAGGCCTGCAAAAATTGAATTATTATCATAAATTTTTAATATTCTATTTTTTATGTTTCTTATATATAAGATACAGTTTGTCATTCAACACCATTTCATAAATAAATATATTTCAACTCTGATTTTGATGTTATTAAAAATGAATTTTAAACCCCAATTTAAAAATTCTTAATCTAACAAAAAATGGGGTCCCATTGGACTTCAATAAGCCCTAGGCCCCAAAAATCCTAGATCCGCCCCTGCATATAATGATGTCTGCTTTAGATACGGAAAATATCGTGGAATTAATGTTCTTTTTGTAATATCAATGCATAATTACATACTTGAGTTTAATAGACATCCTAATTGTAAGATAGGAGTCAAATGTTTGGTTTTATTTTCGTTTAATATGAGGAAGTGGTACTTTATTATGGTTAAAGCTATGTAGACTTATATCTCCACATGAAAAATAAAAACATTCAATTACAGATTGTTGTCTCTATTTATAGCGTTTTGATATTAAGAAATGAAATAAAGAATTAAAGGACATAAGGATACTCTAGACGAATTGTATGATAGTTTCTGAAAAAATAATGATAATGAAGAAATAAAATATCAGATCAAAAATAAATAGCGACATCACCATGGATAGTGTTTTATTCAGGATTGGTGCTAAGTATTACACATGAGCACGGACAAGGTGAAATCATGGCGTCTCTCAATCAAAAAAGTAAATAATATTTCGAGTACATAATAGTATTTTTATTTAAAAAAAAACATATTAAATCGGAAATATTCAGCAAATAAATTGAACGCGAACATTTAAAAACACTGATTATATTGAATGAAAAGATTGTTAGACGAAGACATAACGAGGGCAAAGAAGAAAGATAATCGAGAGCTAAATACTTATAGAGCCTTCTTATAGATTATTACTACATTTTTTCTGGAAAGTTCTACTCGAGGATCATTGAAGTTTCTTCCCCAACTTTGCACAATGATTAAAGTATATTGTCTCGTTCAAGTCGTGAGTGAAAAGCATCCTTTGAGATTTCACGCCTAGACAACTGCTCTTATCAAGAACTTGTGTCAGCACTTGGAGAAGGTTATCACATTCTCCAAGTGCTGACACAAGCTATAGTTTAAGTATAAAAATCAATGAATTAAAAATAATGACCAATTATTTTATTATATCCAATAATGTTCTGAATTTAAAAACTAAGGCTTGTGAGTAATGTCATGTCGTTTTCTTGGAATATTGAAATTCAATTAATTGGATCAAAATTATATATAATGAGAAGTACCAGAACATGTTTTTTTTTTATTAAGATAGAAAGATATTAGATCACTCCTAAATCGTAGCTTTTAAACACAGAATATTATTAGACACAATAAAAATGCTCTTGTTCATCTTAAGTTTGTTGATTTTTATATTTAAATTATCACATCAGTTATATGTAATCTCTATTTATTCGCAGTTTGGCATTTAATATTCTCCATTATAGGGATGCCCAATCCCTGTGGTTTATTAGGTTAAAATAAACAGAAAAATAATTATTTTAACTTGAAATTTTAAATTTAAACAAATAAGCAAAATATCATTTATAACATTACAATGATATGCTTCTGACACAATATAGTGCTATAAATTAAGACACTTGGCGGATTTTCTCATCTTTATTTAGTTGATACGTGTGGAAAAAATTACACGTTTCGAGCTCTTGAGCCCCTCTTCAGTCAACTATCCATACAGGTCTTATAAATTAAAGTAGCAGTTTACTTTCGATATTTTTTCAGCAACATCAGCTTATTCACAGTATTTTTTCTTGTAGCCTACTTGTAATTTTTCCTCCTTATATGCGCTGTTCTGGTGTAGTTCGACTTTCATCTTCTCTAAATTCGATGATTTCCGCCGTTTCAATTATAACTTCTTATTTTGATGATATGAAACCGTGCTTTGCTATTTGTTTATGCTTCTGACACAATATAGTGCTATAAATTAAGACACTTGGCGGATTTTCTCATCTTTATTTAGTTGATACGTGTGGAAAAAATTACACGTTTCGAGCTCTTAAGCCCCTCTTCAGTCAACTAAAACATTTAAAAAGGATATAACATACACATAAAANAACTGCTACTTTAATTTATAAAACCTGTATGGATAGGTATGTTTTATTTTTTAAAAATTTTACAAAACTTGTGTATTCCTTTTTATGTGTATGTTATATCCTTTTTAAATGTTTTAGTTGACTGAAGAGGGGCTTAAGAGCTCGAAACGTGTAATTTTTTCCACACGTATCAACTAAATAAAGATGAGAAAATCCGCCAAGTGTCTTAATTTATAGCACTATATTGTGTCAGAAGCATAAACAAATAGCAAAGCACGGTTTCATATCATCAAAATTACAATGATAGATATTATAAATTTTATTTCTACATTGTCATACTGCAAATCAAAGGAGAAATTTTACAGGGATCTATTTTAAATGGATCCTATTATGACAGTAAGACTATATAATTTCTTCACTAAATATACTACTTTGTAAGAAGATTAGGGAAGAAACCAATGATATGGTCTGTTGATAGTTGACAGCCACCCTTTATATAATAAGGAAAGTTTTTATTTAGTTTCACAGAGTCAAATTCTAATTTATAGATTTCTTTATTTGTTATGACTCCATTTAGAGTTCCTTTTGTAACAGGATTAATTCCTAAATACACTAATAAATGATTTGATTTGAATATTATAATTTTTAAATTATTTATTAAGTAGTGCATTATTTACAGTATTTAGTATTAATTAGCTTGCATTTTCTGCAAATTGTAAATAACTACAACATATTTTATACATAGGATTAAGATTTTACTATAATGACGGCTATCGTAAACAAATACATTTTTAGTAATAAATATATTGAATATATTAATTAATAATCGATATTATTTAATGAAAGAATTGAATGATTAATTTTATCCTAATATTTTTAGATATATTTGCAATACAGATACTAAAACTTCCACTCTAGACCAATTATTTGACGTGGCTCTGACAACTCCAGAAGTTGGAATTGTGAATTTCAAAATCCTCCGAGCTCTTTTGAGTAATTGTGAAAGAACTAAACATTAATGTAAGTGTTTAAATATGATTTACTGTTTTCCTACTTTAAATAATTTATTTCAAAAACTTATATTATATCATTTATTATTAAAGGATAACAGAGTGAGAGTTTTAGTAAAAGATATCTAGGGAATAGCTACTGCTATGTCCAGTACACCCAGGATATCGCAAGAAGGAACACATGCACCTGCACCTGAAAATAAATTATTAAAAAAGACTCCTATTGAAGAAACAAAAGATGTTTTACTATTTTTAATTCATCAATGTTAAATTTAAAAATTTCATCAAAATCGTACAGAGCCATTCAAATAGAAAATGCATATTCAAATGAAGTTGAAATTAAACAAATAGAAGAAAAATTGAACGCAAATTCATTAATTTCAAATAATGAAATATCAGATGAAACATTCAATTCGGAAAAATCTCCAGTTTTTTCTGAAATGGAATCATTCTGATGGAAGAACAAGAAACAAGAGGAAGATACTATTCTTTAAAGAACAGTTGCTAGCATTAAATGTGACATTTCATTTCTTAGATCAGAATTTAAAATATAAAAAAATTTAGAATGTAGAGAAAACAAAATAACCTTCAGAAATGTTAAACACAGTTCACCAATATTTATTTGAGAAATGGATGGTGTGGAAATATGTGGAAGATCATAAATTTTACAACGTGTATTGATGCCATTGAAAGTAGCATAACTTGATAGTTTAAAACATATTCACATATCGTTTTCATTATCAAACACATTAACAAAAGTATTTATGAAGTTTTAATAATTAATAATCAAATCTTATCAACTATACATCAATTCTTAAGACATTTAAGACATTAAAATGTCTTAAAAATTGATATACAGTAGTTGAAAATTATTTGAAACAAATTAATACAAAAGAAAAAATTCAAATATGACAGTGATGTATCCCAGTGTAATCAAGGTTAAGGAATTATACTTGGATACTTCAATGTCACTAGCAATGAAAAATATTGTTAAGGGCACATCAAGAATAACATTGTGTGTGTCTTTTGTCAATATAAATACTTAAATAAACTTGACAAAAACTGTATTATAAAAAGACAGTTAGCCTATCAGAATTATATTTACTAGCAGTTTACTTTCGATATTTTTTCAGCAACATCAGCTTATTCACAGTATTTTTTCTTGTAGCCTACTTGTAATTTTTCCTCTTTATATGCGCTGTTATGGTGTAGTTCGACTTTCATCTTCTCTAAATTCGATGATTTCCGCCGTTTCATATCATCAAAATTACAATGATAGATATTATAAATTTTATTTCTACATTGTCATACTGCAAATCAAAGGAGAAATTTTACAGGGATCTATTTTAAATGGATCCTATTATGACAGTAAGACTATATAATTTCTTCACTAAATATACTACTTTGTAAGAAGATTAGGGAAGAAACCAATGATATGGTCTGTTGATAGTTGACAGCCACCCTTTATATAATAAGGAAAGTTTTTATTTAGTTTCACAGAGTCAAATTCTAATTTATAGATTTCTTTATTTGNCAGTTCAATTATTTTAACTTAGAAATAGCGGGACATTGGGCAGGTTTATAAAAACAATTATCGTGCCACTTTTAAATGCAAATTAAGACTTTAATTTGCATTTAAGACTGTTAATTGCTTTTCATATGTAAATAAAAATTATTAATTTAAATAACTATTGTTGTAACCTGCTGCTATTTTAAAGAACAATACTGTTTTTTTTAATTTACAAAAATATAGACAAAAAGAATTAAGTGGCAAGTAATGTGACGATAAAATGTTTACAAACACAACTTTAAATCATGTGATTTATTCTGAGGAAATTTAATTATAGGTTCAAATGTGCCGTGAGATAAAAAAAATTGAAAAACACTGCTCTAGATATTTTGATTAGTACAATAGATTTCCGTTTAATGGCTAGTATTATTTATTATGGGCCATTATTTTTTTAGCGTTAATTATATTTTCTAAACAATGTCATATTACAAAAACGAGATTCTCTTCATTAAGAGATTCTCGTTTTTGTTTCACTTATAAACCTCTTTGTAGGGCTTAGTCACATTAAGGAACTACTACAAAATTTGAAGTGAAAATTCTGTCTGAACTGCAATATGCGATGTGTCCACCAGTGGTCAAGTGGTCTTCGTACCCTGAACACTAGGAGTTCGGTTGTGGGTTCGCGCCTCACTCGGACAGGCTGGCCACGTGAAGTTTTTCGGGTTTTCTCCACGTTTGTAACGCCTAAATAGGGGCCAGTTTCCCTTAAAAAGATCTCCCAGAAGGCATCCTCTCTAGGCAGATCGCCCAAGTGTTGCATTGCCATAACAAAAAAAAGTGATATGCGTATGTTAATTTTGTTCGTTTAGAACGAAGTGCCGTAATACTTCAAGAGAACAACTCTAATCTGGTCAATATGGCTTTGCTATTACAGTAACACATTTTCAGGTGTCACCTTACCCATGGAATACCTTTTTCTCTTATCTTATAAAATACGACTAGACAAGATTGGGCTAAAAGTAGCAGATATCTGTAGGGCTCTATGCTACTGCATTTGGGCGACTTTAAAATAATTTTGCTACATTTTGAGAATTCTGCTTTACTAAGACTTATATTGCAACCTGTGTGGTCGTCACTGGATACATGCTGTTTACCTGCAGTTTATTTATATTATTAACGAAAATAGCATTCAGTATACATAACTGTATTCAGTTTGCTGGTAAGATGTAAACTTTGAATGAGGGGTTTTCCACCCTCGAGTTGTAGACCCACTGTACGAGCAAAAAAGTTAAAAGGAACCATATCTGTATAAGCTACCCTCCACAGGATATTTGCCTCCAAAGATCAGTTTTACCACGTATCAGTATACTGCCTATTCTCCATGCTCTGCATTGGTCAAGGCTCACTATTGGGAGCCTTGACCAATCTGGAGCACGTAGTCATAAACTGCTCCCAGTCACACAGTGACTTTTTCCATTTCATTTAGAGCATTATCATCAATGACAGTGGCACCTGACTTATAGGAATGCTAGAACAAGAAAAATTTGTACAATAAGTTCTCATGAAAGAAAACCAAGTGCAAATTTCCATATTCTAAAACCCACAGGCAAATTTGAGACAACATGAATGCTTTCTTGAATAAAAAAATATTGAATGATGGTGTTTGCACTTAAAAACTGTGATATTTTTTATGGTTGTTGCTATCCATTTCAGCTGCTCATGACCATTGGTGTTCTTTTTGGCAAGCTTCCTCCATCCTCAACTGGCTGATGGTCCTTTCAGTGTCCATTTCAATGGTATCAAGCCAGTGCAGTCTCTGGTGACCAGACCTTCTCTTACCACTGAAAAGAAATTTGTTTTCTATGGGGATGTTTCCAATTCTCAAACAACATTCCTATCTACCTGTGTGGTAGGAATGCTGTTTGTGAATTGGAAACATTTATACAAAGGATACCTGTACATGCTAAGTTGTTCAATTTTTAGTCACTGAAATGCTTATATACAGTTTTCTGAATCAATTAAAAAGCAGAATACTTAATTAAGGAGTTGTTATTATGTAATCTTATCGATAGTAAGTATGTTTTGCATATGAAAATCATTCATACAACCATATATAAAAATATATATAATTTTATTTAAATTAAAACAATATCACAGTATTAGAGCTTTCAATTACTGTACATATAATTATGAGGAATATTTGGCAAGAGCATCTTTGGTATAAATCACAATTCAGATTTTCTCAAATCTAAGTAAAATACTTTTAAATAAATATATCTGAATATTTTGTAAAATGTTTTATGTACATTGAGTGTATGTTGTCACCATATTTCCAAATCTTTGCGTAACAGTTCTACATCGTCCTGTAATAAATATAATATTTCCAAATACAGAAATCAAATATATAACATTTGTAAAATAAAAAGAAAAATGATACTTACCAGAATTACTTTTATGTTGGAAATGATTATTAGCAGTTTCATAATCAGGACTGAACATTTCATCAAGAGTAAAATACTTGCCACTATCATATGAGAAAAATTTATTATAGCTGTTTTCTTTAGGGAATTGAAAATGCTTGTTAAAAGATGAGAAAAATTCATCAAAATTAATTGGAGATTCTTTAATATGTGGGTGATTTTCATCTCCATATTTATCATAAAGTTTTTTCTTTACAGGATCAGACAATACTTCATAGGCTAAAAAGAGATTTATACATAATCATCAATTTTACTTAAGATTAGCCTGAAGAATATATAGTAATTAAAATATTTTAAATTATCATTGTAGAATTAAATAACTGAGTTTCAATGCATAAATAGTCTTTGAATAATGTGAAAGTAACATGTTAAGTGAACTCCCTAAATAGTGCTCGATATTGATTTTCAGAAGTGCATTACGTCAAAAAAATAGCATTTAGCATAAAAACTGTTCGTAATCATTTTCATATGGTTTATTAATGAATTACATTAACATAAAATGTTAACTGAAAGTTTATTAAATCAAGGACTATAATATTTAGTAAGCTGAAACATGAAAGTAAGCTTTCATGTTTCAGCCTCTTTTTTTTTACAAAAGTTTAGGCTCTCCTTAGATGAACATAGACACATTAATTAAATACAGGTACACTGGTGTCCAAAATAAAGTGAACAAATACAAAATTTAAAATCTGCCATTTGGCTTGGTGGGTTTGATGAGATCCAATGTGTCTCTGTAAGACATCAGAGACATGCTCTATTGGATTTAGGACAGAAGGTATTTAGAGCGGCAGACCAAACCACCCTCTAAATATCCTGACTCTTGAGGCATTCATTGCAGTGTGTGGATTAGCATATCGTAAATAATCATAAAAATAAAATATCATATCATAAAAATAGCATAAAAGTAGCATATCATAAAAATAAATCAAGGGACAATGGCACCCCTGAAAACTTTTACATAGGGCTTAGGATCTCGCCCTGTATCTTTGAGAGTCAGGGGGTCTCTCTCAAACATGTAGAGAGATATATAGTTGTACAAAATAATGCCTCCCAGACCATGAGACACGCTTCCCAAAACAGTCTCTCTCCCTGATGTTAGTGGGATGGAAGCAGTTCCTAGGTTCTCCAGATGAATATTCATTGAGAATCAGTGTCTAGAGCAGGGTGTCCAACCTTTTTTTTCTCTGGGCCACATTGGAAGAAGACATAGAGTTTTGGGCCACAAGTATTTTATATATACTTCTGGCCCAATCCTTAAATATACAAGTATATTTAAGAATTAATATGTCTAGATTATAGTAATAAATATTAAAACATATCACGAATAAGGATATTTTAAAAAAATTACTTCTACAGACACTTTCAATTTTTATTTAGAAATAGATGAATTCATTTATTATAAAGGAGACAAACAAAAATTTGTTTGAAAAACACAAATATTTGTTTTATTTAGGTCTCTAATAAAAAACGAAGAAATACCATTTTAAAGTGCATTTTTATTCTACTAATATATTTATAAATAATATGCAGTCCAAAATAATAGCTAATGAACCAAATGATATTTTTATGCCAAACTAAAAAAAATGTATATGGGGACATGATTTAGTTCAACCACTTTGACGCTTAATAACTAACTCCTGTGTTAAACCATCCGACTTCGATTCTAACCACTCTGACCACAAAAATTATTAGGCTTCAAACAGGGTGAACAAAATCATGCCCCCACACAGTCTAACACGTATAGAAAAAAACCTTGAATCTTTTGCATATCTCGAAATTTCAAGGTGTCCTGAGTCCAAAAATGTAAAAATTTGGGAGGAGTCATTTTCTGACCGAGAGCTACATTTTTCCTCTGTTATATATAACAGCTGGAAAGTAAAAATTATCGAATACATATTTATATATTACTTAGAGAAGTCTTTTAGCTTTGGAATAAAAAGTTTCTATGCTCTATCTTTATTAGAACTCTATTTATTGAATCTTTTATTCTGAGGTCAAATGATGACATCAGAATTTCCAGTTCTCTTTCAGTAACAAGCCCGCCCCTGGTCGGAATTGGATAGTAAGGAAAAGTCAGAGTCGGAGTTGGTAGATTTTTACGCGACTCCACAGCCCTATTATATTTCCAAGTGTGCAAAATCAAAACTGATTGTGATAGGTTATAAGATAAATTTACACGTTTGCTAACCTTGGTCTTTTTAGTTTAAATAAATTTAGAGTTCTATTCAAAAAAAGCATTTGTTCATTTACTTTTGGATATCAGTGTATTTTAACCAATGCACTTCACAACAGATACAACCTAATTTACAATATTGGGTCAGTAAATTGATAAGTATTTTGAGGTGCATTAGTTAAAATACTTGAATTGAATATGTCTGTTCCTCTGATAAGGGGGTTAAATTTTTGTAAAAAAAAAGGCTAAAAGAAGAAAGTAAAAGAATTTCTGATGCTATTGTGAATATCTAGGCATGATAAAAATAGAATATGACTTGCAGGATCTCATTGTTTTGCTAATTAGAAAGTTGTCCAAAATTTTTGATGAATTCTTATATAATTACTGAAAATATTCAAAAAATGAGTAATTTGAATTTAATTTTTAAAAATGTATCAAACTTGCTGCCTTTTGAAATAGTCTTCAACTTCTCTAACACTTTTTGAATGGATGGTGCATTTATAAAAAAAATTCTTTCGATTTTAAATTTAGCTTAGGAAATAAGAACAAGTCTGCTAGAGCAAAACCTGGAGAATAAGGGTGGAATCAAAATAACATTTGTTTTTTTTTGCACAATTGTTATTGATGTTTGTGGATGGCAGTTTCTTTCATCTGAGAATTTCCTCCCTTCTCTAAATTGCCTGTGCAACTCAAATTTTTGTTGTTCTTGACAAAGCAGAATTTCTGTAAACTTCTTTTAAGGATGATTTCTTAAAGGATAGCTATTCAATATCTGATTGTGATACAAGATTATCTTGACATGCAAAACCTCTCATCACTCTCCAACTGTCAAACCAAACATGTTGAAACTTGCTCCCCCTTGACATGAAATTAAATACTAACAAATTTTATAATCATTTGCAATGGGACACTGCTATATTTTGTATAATAAAGTCTAACTTTTATGTCATACTGTGAAATACATACATTTTATAACAAACTAGCTGTTACCCATGACTTTGCATGTGCAGATTTTGCAAGAAAACCCTATTTATATTCAGTATTTCAACAACCATAGTAATTGTTATATAACACCTACCGCTGAGAATAATGATAATTGCTGAGAATCAAACAAACTATTTTCAATTTGATCAATTTTCTGGAATGTTTACAATCGTTCTATAATCAAACCAATATGCAATAACAAATTCGAATTTAAAACACTTTGAATATTTGGTTAAAAAATCAAAATATATAAAAATATTTATAACAATGTCTGAAATGTTATCAATTTAATAAACCTAAGTACTCAATGAAGACTATATGTAGTTAAAAACAAAAAATCGCATCTAAAATAGTACAGTAGAAGCTGTTCTTCTGGTTAAGCCTTAATACTCTCCCTCTCCCCCCTGCGGGGGAATTTCGAAAAATCTTAGTGTGCGTTTTCATGACATACCCTAACTGTGTACCAAATTTCACCTCTTTAGGTTCAGCAGTTTGCTCTGGGCGATGATAAATCAGTGACTCAGTCATTCAGTCAGGACAAGTAATTTTATATATTTAGACTAGATATACCCTGTATACTAAACATTATTTAATTACCAGACACTAAAGTTGATAATGTAAATTCTTAAAAGTTTATTATAGATTGTAGACAAATTACTATTTAACTTAGTTGGACATAAAAATGAAAAAAATTTGAAAATGACATTAAAGATTGATTGTAGAGAGTTTAGACAAACCACTAAAAAGTAGTCTAAAAAAAAAGAAAAACATAAAATAAAAAATTTTAAAAGGTTAAGCAAAATATTTGTCAAGTCCCACCTACACACTTGCTGCCTTTTTCTTTGTTGAGTTTTCTGAAAAGTTGAAATAAAACAAAAATGTTTGCAGAAATTACACTAAATAAGAAAATAGCAATTAAAAATTTATTTTCATAAGAGCACTGCATAATGAAAAATAACATTTGTTTTTCCCTACTAACTAAAGTGGTCAGGAATCGACAGGGATCGGTTTAGCATTGCTAGTTCTGTCAAATTGGCAACATTTAACTTTATCAGAATAGAGTCTTATTAATTGAAACTGGCAACAATTGAAAACCATACATACCAAATTAACTATAGATTAAATTTGTCATATATCTCAAATGAAAAAAAAAATTAAACTTTGCTTGGCAAGTATTAACTGATAAATTCATGAACGAAGTGTGGAAGAAGTTACAGCTGAAGGTATCCAAGAATTCTCAATGAGAAGAGCTTATTGTTCACCAAATTGTCAACCTAATCAATACAGCAGGACTAGGAAATGTAGATGAGCAGGATATTGAGGAGTTACTGCAGATTTCTAGTGAGAGCCTTACCAATGACGACCTTCAAAAGCTGGCAGAACAAGGAATTCATGTAGAACTGGAAAATAGTGATTCTGAAAATAACATTAAAAGTGCTCAGCAAAAATTAACAGGCCATCATCAGGTCTAAAAAACGAAAATGGAACAGATACTACAGATTTTCGTTTTTTAGACCTGATGATGGCCTGTTAATCAGGTTGAAAACATTTGTTTTTCAAATATATTTCTCGGCAACAAATTAAGGTGTTTTAATTTCTGTGTGATTCTGAAAATGAAGAACCTAAAAAATTTCTCTACAGATTTCTTTAGTAAAAGTTTGGTAATGATAACCGAAATTGTTGATCAAATTGTAGGGAATGATCTAGATTTTGAAAGGAGTGCAAAAGAGTTTTGGATGTGATTTATTGCTACCGACATTTACTTAACAAAAACAAAAGCAACAAATGACACTAGACGACTTCTTCACAAAAAATAAGAATTTCAGAAGAGCCAGGACCTTCATCACAAAAAATGAATTTTACATTTCTGTGTGCATATGTTTATGTGTTATTTAACATATATTATTATGCAAATTAACCTTTCATCAGTGAGATAGTCAGGTATGGTGCTATCCCAAAGTAGTAGAGAATAAACGTCAGAAATTTTTAAAGTATTTTTCCATGCGTTTTTTTTCTCATTACCATTTTGGAAAAAGATTTTTTAAACAGTTATGTCTAGTAAAGAAAAGTCTTTTTTTATTGTTACATAATTCATTTTTTATGTGAATTGTTTTTTCACAGTAGTTTTTGGCGAAAAGAATTTAACAGATATATCCGCCCCCACCACTGCCACACAATCGTCCTGGACGGATATATCTGTCCCTCACTGTTGAGTGGTTAATATAAAAATAACTTAAAATTAAGTAAAATCTGTTGATTTTTTGGTCACGTGTTCCCCTTTCCCTATTTACTCTGTGTTAAAATGACCTCGTTTAACACTGTTTCATTTAGTGCTTTGTCGTCTAGGAATGTATACCCTGTGTTAAGCGGGGTCTTACTGTATTAGCAAATGCATATTTTAGGAAGTCACAATTTCCTTCTTACATTATTGCTTCCCATTTTTTTAGATGAAAGTAATATTAATCAATTCTCTTTACCAAATCCAATATTTACATTAAACTATGTCTTCATGTTACACATGAAGATCATTTGTTCATTAGTTTTAATCATCAGTATGATTAGAACTAATGTGGATACTAGCCTGGTATTCATATTGATTTAATTTAGCTTACCAAGAATAAGGTTCATTTAAGTCATATTTTTGATAATGCTAAGAGCACACATGTATTACTTGTGTAAAAGTAAAAGTTCTTACATATGCACTCCATTTATTTTTAAATTATTATTCAATTTTCTCATTTGCATTTATTGAGAGTCAAACATAAAACATATTTGACTCTCACAAATGCAAATGACACTATTTTATCCCGTTATTTTTGACCAAAACATTGTCATTTTTGATAAATATGTATAAAGAATTGATAAGTGTACGTTATACAGGTATCCCTTGATTAATTAATCCCTTGATCCTACTGCATATATCAAAATATGATATCTACATTAAGTAAAGACAGCTGGTAAAGCCACATATATTGCCGCAATTAATTTTGCATGTTAATCAAATCCCACATTAAGCAAGGGATAACATTTGATCTTAATCACAAACTAATATTTTTAAGTAAATTAAACTTCACTCTGACACCGAGGATGAAATACTAAATACAGAACCTGTTACCGGTGTAATTTTGCGTGAAAAAATCCTCATTTCACAAATGTTTTCGAGCTGGTAATAATAACAAAATTACACCGGTAACAGGTTCCGTATTTAGTAATATTTTTAATACCACAAAAATTAACTAGGTTACTTGCTGATATTTATGTCATTTGTAAAAATAATGATCATCATTGTCATCTCATTAGCAGCAGAGGCTATCTCTAAGAGCAAAAAATTCAAATTCAAAAGAACTACAATTTTAAGAACAATGCTTGGAAAGTTATTGTTCTAAAATTTTCTGGTTAATTGAATACATATGGATATTGGCCCTATGTTTTTATAATTTTCTTTCAACAACTTACTAGAAGAAACCTTATTACAGATTATAAGGTTTCTTCTTATGAAGAAAGTAACATTAATTTTAAAATACTGCTTCAGGCCACAACTCTATTTTATTTAAAAATTTTGTATTTTTTGCTAGTCATACAGCATTGCAAATGACAAGTTTTAGAAAGTATATCCTTTGAGAAGAACCTATAGTTTCTTTGGTTTTTTCCTTAGAAGACATCAATAATCAACAAAACTGAAAAATTCTGCCAAAATTTCTTTATCTGAGTTAGAGAAACTTATAGAATTTAATGTTTTTATCTTACTAAATAAAGGAAAATAAATTATTATTCTTTTAGTAAATTCTCAAAACTTTAGACTTTTATATAATCTCTAATCTAAAATATCATTCTGATTTACAATAATGTTAAATATAAATTAAAATAATTCCAATACGAATAAAATGATAATTAAATTACCTTGTACAATTTCTCTGAATTTTTCTTCTGCATCCTTTTCAGTGTTTCTGTCTGGATGATATATTTTGGCTAGTTCCCTATAGGCTTTTCTAATTTCTTTTTCACTCGCATCAGAACTTAGTCCAAGAATATTATAATAATCATTCTCCATAACTGACAGTCCTTGTTGCAATATAACGGTCTCGGTTATCAAAACCATTAAAGCTAACTGGAATAATTTCATCTTTGGCACAAAACTAAGGAAAACAATCGGATTTAAATGTAAAATATAAATTAAATATTAATAGTAAGTTAATTTAAGTATTTGTAGATAATACGTACTTTAATAAAATGTAATAAGTATAGAACCTTACAACCTCAGTAACCTTCACACGTGCTTTTCGTTTATTCATATACATCTATTACAGTAAAAATAACGTGTCGTTATGACAGAGACACGATCACCACTCTCATTGGTTGGAATAAACAGGCATATGACTTGCAGAGATGTCATTGGTCACTAAAAATAACTGTTATTCACGATTTCAAATTGATAAAATTTAATTTTAAGTTTTAAAATATTTTAAAATTTAAATATATTAATAAATTTTGTATTAAATGTTATAATAAAACATTATATATTTAAAATTTATTATAGTAAATGTTTGTAAAGTATAACCAATATAGATGGCAGGTCAAGTCTAAGGAATAATACAGTATTTTGTTAATCTTCTAAATTTATTTTAGTTATTTTATAATGTCACTTTATTGAATCTTTTTGTTTATGAATTAGAAATAAAATAAAATTTGTAAAAATTATTTATAATAAAATGATGTTTGTTAAAAAAAACAACATGTGTACAGTGATATACTCGGTGATGTGGAGTAGCCTGTACAATGATGCACTGTACTGGCTTGACAGCCGGATGGTCGAGCCCAGTCGAAGCCGCCAGCAATCCTACAGGAGGTAATACGGTGCTACAAAGTATTAAAAGAACACTTATCTGATGAAGAAATATTGTCATCAAAACCTGACGAATTATACAACAAGCTTGTTGATATCTACGTTCCAAAACCCCAAAACAGAATAGCACCAGCCAACATCCTAAACAAAAGCATAATAAAAACCTTATCGAAACTAAGAATAAACAACAATGCGAAAACAATCTTCTGGCGCATGCATCATAATTGTCTCCCTACAAATACATGGAAACAAAACAAAAAGTTAATATCCACGGATAAATGCCCCGTATGCCAATTACCAGAAACTCTTAACCATGCCTTCCTCCAATGCGAACATACGAAAAAAGTATGGGAATTCCTAGAAAAATTCAACAATATTCAAAAACCATGTAACGAAAATGAACTCAAATGGCTTCATAATATACATAACAAAGAGGTAAATTACGCTATCTTAATAACAGCATTCGAAGCTATCTGGAGAAGCAGAAACACAGCGTATTTCCGAAAAATCAACGATATAACGACANTCGAAGCTATCTGGAGAAGCAGAAACACAGCGTATTTCCGAAAAATAAACGATATAACGACAATCACGAAATTCAAGTTCCATTTACAAAGACTACTGGAAACGATAAATGATAGCAAAAAGAATCTAAATACGAAAAAAATCAACAACTGGGAAAAAACGAAAACAACCAAATAACGCTACAGATTGTAAACGACGAAATGTCGCATCGCAACCTTTCCATATAGTCTGTTTAATCCACTTTCACATCGTACTGTACATCATGAAAACAAAATAGTAAATCAGTATCAGAAAAAAATTATATGTATGTAAAAATATTATATAATACAAAAAAAATAACTATGTAATATGCATCAATCAACGATAATAATTGATTGAAACACTGTATGTAATATTCTACTGTAAATAAAAATATATTTAAAAAAAAAAAAAAAAAAGCCGGATGGTCGAGCGGTTAAGGTGGCAGCCTACTTCTCTGGGGAACCCGGGATCGAATCCGGACGGGTCGAAAAATCCCCAGGAAGTTATTGGGGTGGTCCTTTTGGATATGTCGGGCTCCGTTTTTCACTACCTGACCGCCCCATTGTGGGCCTGGCCAAACCCATAATGGGCTTGCAAAAAGAGGCCCTCTTAGTGCCCACTGAGCGGAAAGAGTTAAAAAAAACGCGCAATACAGTATTGGCTGACCAGTATCTTTATAACGGATTCCAATTAAAAATCAATTCGGAACTTCATAATTTATACATCTTAGATTCTTAGGTAATTCAAGTCATGGTGCGGTTCTTCCTCTGTTCTTATACATTCTAATCACTGTATTGACATGGTGACTGAAATAGATTAATTATATACTCATAATACGCTGTATATCGCTGAAACAGGAATTTAAATAATGAGAATGGAAAATAATGGCAAAAATGTTATTACAGTGTTCTTTTTTCATGTCAGTAACGTTTAATTGTATTCATGAAAATTTGAATAAATTTTACAAAGAAATTAATAGCAAACATGCAAAATTGATAGCGTTCATTTTTTTCCTTCTTGTGGTATGGAACAGTATTTCTCAGTTATTGGTTTAACTGGAGGAAATAAATACTGTCATATCCAGATTATAAAATATTCAGTACATTAAAGTACATATAAAGTAAATATAGAAGAAATATATTGTATATATATATTTTATTACATTTTATCTATTATAATGGTTACAAAGTTTAATTACAGTATTTCATTACATTCAGCTTGGAAAATAAACTATTTGTTAAAATAACACCAGGGGGAGAGAATTCGCTTAATTTTATTTATTTACTTAATATTCTAGAAAAAATTATTGCTTTTACTTTAAATAAAATTATATATTTCTATTTACGAATAATTAATAATTTCTAGAAATTTTAATTTTTAAAAGTTTGAAAATAGTATTTTAAATATTAAAACCAATCAGAACTGATGTTTATCGTCACGTGGTAGTTCATTGTTTACATTTCTCAACGTGCCAGATAAGAACACATGAGAAAAGTTGTATTCATTTTACTCCAAAGAATTCCTATGAAAGTAAATTTAAAATACAAATTAAATCGAATTTTAATCAGATATATAGATTTTGTTAATCTAATTATAGTTTTTTTTTTATATTGAAAAATAATGTTATATTTAATAAATTTTATTTATTTTGTTAGATATAGTATGCAAGTTGATTTAAATGTGATAAACACAACACGAATTAAAAGGAAGAAATCGTGGGCAAAAGTAACATGGATAGGAAAGGTAAAACCAAAACTAGTGATAAGTAAGGTGATATAAATCATATGATAACAATGATAATAAAATGAGATGCCTTAAATGCCAATTTATTTTTTATGTTACAAGAATGTTAAATGTGCAGATTCTATGCTTTTATATAACGTAAATATTTGTTTAAATTTGAATTTAGAACACGAATATGTTGAATCCAAATGAAGTTTGATACTATAATTTAAATACATTTTTAAAACCATTAGAATTTCTGTGATGATTTTGACCAATATGTGAAAGAGGATAAAAGTAAATCAATAGAATAATGTGAGATATCTATTGACTCAATGGCTGGATGGGTGAGACAGTAAAGCTGCCACTTTGAGATACCTGAGATCAAGTCTGGGTGAGAAACTAGAAGAATTTTTCTTGGACAGCCTGTCCTGATATGTCAGATCATGTTCTTCACTATTTGTCTTTCCAAGCTCATGATGGAGTTTTGATAAAAGCTCACTTTTAGTTTTCAGGTCAGAAAGAATTAAAAAGAAACTAGAGAGCTTTAGATAAATTGCAACATTACATTCCATTACTGCATTATTTTGTGAAGAATTTGAATTTCAGTCATAAATGTTTTGTTCATATTTTGTATATTATTTTTTTGTACTATTAGATCTTTATGAATATGTTACATTAACAAAAGTTTATGTTGATAGTATAAAATCCCAATAAAAAGTTTATATTTTGAGATGTGAATATGTAATCCAAATAAAACATTAATTATTTATATGAAATATTTTGATAAAATATATATTTATATAGATGAAATAGCATTATATATAGAGGAGAAGGTGGTATTATGGAACACTGCGGGTATTATGGAACCACCCCATTTCGAACTGATAATAAAGGCGAACTGTAGCGGAATGTGGCTGATCTGAACTAGGCAGACATCCATAGCAAGGAGAAAACCCCTTTTACTTCAGTTAAACGGTTGTCCGCATTTAATCAGCAAATTTGTTTTTTTCAAAANCCCTCTGGTGGCGCAAGAAGACGGATTTTATAAAATAAAAAAAGCAGTTGAAACTGCATTTTTATGAATAAAAATTTGACAAACTACTTATTGTTTTATGACGAGTAAAATTTTTTCGTCGCGTTCACGGATTTTAAGTAATGCATAAACCTTCGAGGCGCGAGCCCTTTGGACCGCGAGGCATAGGCGGTGGCCCACGTCGTCCATGCCTTACGCTGCCCTTGGTCATAGAAATGATGTAATTTGAATATAAATTATTTATAAATACGTATGTCAAGTTATATTTTTATTACTATGTAAAATATATTTAAGAGTTTACGACCACTGTGCTGGGTGAGACGTTGTTGAAACAAAAAAAGTTATGCATTCCATCACGTACATAAACAGTGCCGTAATTCGCCAAGTGCAAATCAGCAAATTCATAAAATTTTTGTTTATTTTGAACAATCCGGATAATGGAGGTTCTACTGTATTTTGTGAAACAGAAAAATAAACAATCATCCATTACATTAGTAAAAAATATTTTTTATATTTATAAATTGTTTAGAAATTTCATTATTACTAATTTTTTATTAAATTATACAAAAAAATTTATCTGCTTTCATTTAATAAATTTTATTAATATGATAATTTACTATGGAAAAAATTTCGTATACATTTACATTTATCATCAATGTTGATATATCATCTATGATCTTTTCAAACCCATAAATACCAAGCTATAAAACATATATAATTTTATACATTCTAAAAAAACTAATTAAAATGTCGATGTTAATTTTATAAAATATAATGAATGTAAATTTATCTCTAGCTGTATTACAATCTAACTTTTAGGTCCAGTGTACACATCCATGTTTTAAATGTTTCCACAATGATGCCAGAATTACAATCTGGGAATAGTATAGGTAAATGAGACAATACACATACTTCTGGTGACAATGTAACATTGCATATCCATCTTGCATGCATCTTCTGTCACAGAAATGTGATCACAATATGCAAATCAAATGTGGACCTAACATCATATAAAGTAGATTCTAAATGCTGACTGTGATCATTCAGATGAGTGTTGTTATTAGAGCCAACTGAGTTCACCACCAGCAATGTCATTATAATGCACCTGGAAACTCTACACACAATTAGATAACTTTTGAGAGAAGGCATATCAGGATGTGGGAAACAAGGTGGTTAAGCAGAGCAATCAGCCATACAGACACTACTGTTGCAAAGTGCTTGCAGCAGTAGTTGCAGCAATGTATGTACCAATAAGGGAAGGTTCTGGAAGACCCAAAAGAACCACTGTGAGACAAGCCAGAACTTTTCCAACAGCATTATTTATGCTGTTGGAACTGTTCTGGCTTGTCTCACATGTGATGATCTTTATATTTTTGGATATTTTCGATCTTATGTACAAATTGTATAGTCTTAACATCCAGATGTTAAATTTGAATTGGCATTCCATTTTAGTATTCTACAAGAAGAAGTATGTTAAAAATGTCCAATAATGTTATATTTAATAAATTTTATTTATTTTGTTAGATATAGTATGCAAGTTGATTTAAATGTGATAAACACAACACGAATTAAAAGGAAGAAATCGTGGGCAAAAGTAACATGGATAGGAAAGGTAAAACCAAAACTAGTGATAAGTAAGGTGATATAAATCATATGATAACAATGATAATAAAATGAGATGCCTTAAATGCCAATTTATTTTTTATGTTACAAGAATGTTAAATGTGCAGATTCTATGCTTTTATATAACGTAAATATTTGTTTAAATTTGAATTTAGAACACGAATATGTTGAATCCAAATGAAGTTTGATACTATAATTTAAATACATTTTTAAAACCATTAGAATTTCTGTGATGATTTTGACCAATATGTGAAAGAGGATAAAAGTAAATCAATAGAATAATGTGAGATATCTATTGACTCAATGGCTGGATGGGTGAGACAGTAAAGCTGCCACTTTGAGATACCTGAGATCAAGTCTGGGTGAGAAACTAGAAGAATTTTTCTTGGACAGCCTGTCCTGATATGTCAGATCATGTTCTTCACTATTTGTCTTTCCAAGCTCATGATGGAGTTTTGATAAAAGCTCACTTTTAGTTTTCAGGTCAGAAAGAATTAAAAAGAAACTAGAGAGCTTTAGATAAATTGCAACATTACATTCCATTACTGCATTATTTTGTGAAGAATTTGAATTTCAGTCATAAATGTTTTGTTCATATTTTGTATATTATTTTTTTGTACTATTAGATCTTTATGAATATGTTACATTAACAAAAGTTTATGTTGATAGTATAAAATCCCAATAAAAAGTTTATATTTTGAGATGTGAATATGTAATCCAAATAAAACATTAATTATTTATATGAAATATTTTGATAAAATATATATTTATATAGATGAAATAGCATTATATATAGAGGAGAAGGTGGTATTATGGAACACTGCGGGTATTATGGAACCACCCCATTTCGAACTGATAATAAAGGCGAACTGTAGCGGAATGTGGCTGATCTGAACTAGGCAGACATCCATAGCAAGGAGAAAACCCCTTTTACTTCAGTTAAACGGTTGTCCGCATTTAATCAGCAAATTTGTTTTTTTCAAAATTTGCAAGTTTTGAATGCTAAGTAAATTTAATTATTTTTAAAATATAAATCGTGTAGTTGTAGGTTCACTGGTGCATGTATTCCGTTCCAGAGACTTAGGAGTACATATTAATCTATGTGATGTTCACGTTTTTTAAATTTTGATCTTGACAGACATAAGTTAATTCCAGATGGCGATGCGTGAAATACGGACCCCATTGGTGCTTTTACAGTAATATGGAACTCAACTCCTCCGAACTTTCTATTTGCAAGCAGACATTCCTCCAGAGCAATTTGTGAAAAAGACACTAGGTAGAAAGCCAATTCTTCCCGAGAATATCGAAAAAGAGCTGCTGGAATATATATTGTTGATGGAGGTCATATTTTTCTATTATAAAAGCATTTTTGCGATAAAATACATTGGAGTAAATAATTTGGTAATTATTTAACATTTTTTGTCCTTTCCTATTTGTTTTTGGCTACATTAAAGCATTTTTTTGAAAATATACAGTAAGGTTCCATATTACCACCCGATTTTCTCTAAGCCTACTTTCGGACTTTTTGTACAAAAGCCTTCAAAAACCATACTTATAATTACACTAGCGAAAAATCCAATTAGGAACATTTAGTTTACTAGTTACCAGTACTTTTCGCACAAAAAATGTGGGTGTAGTTACGATACCTTGTTTACAATTCACTAAAATATAATTGGGGTTCCATAATACCACCTTCTCCTCTATATATATATTTAAATCTTGTAATCTTTAATAATAAAACATAAGAAATTTACAAATATTAAATTTTAATATAATTTTAATTTAATATTTGTTAATCTTTCTAAATTATTTTCAAGGAAAAAGAAGAAGTTATACTTTTAGATAAAAAACGAATAAGCATCTTGCAGTTGTCTTCTGGAAATACTAAGCGGAAATTATCTCAACTCCCATTTATAAATGAATTAATATTAACAACAATTTCTTTAAATGGTAATTTTTATTTTATTAATATATTAAATATAATATTCAATACAATTATGTAAAGTGATAAGTCTGTACACATGGTAAAGAATTACAGAATGAGATATATGTGATCATCATTTAACTGAATGCTCACACTCATATTGGAATCTGGTTATTATAATCAAGAATAATGCTATCAATTGACTATTATTATCATAATCAGTTAGTCCCAAAGAACTATATATTTTTATATATATAGTCAAAAATAATCCACCTAATATAATCAAACTTAGGCTATTGTTATCAATTGTGATAATTACACTTGGTGACAAATGATAAGAATTCTTAGAAAATTCATATTAAACGGATCTTATTTTTGAAACTTACTTTTAACTGAAACATACCTTTTACATATTGTAAGGGTATGACAAGAATTTTTAGAAAATATATAAACTGTGGATCTTTACTTGAAGTGTACCTTTGGGAATGAACATTCCTGTTGCAATTTCTGTAGTTTAATTTGAAAATCTGTTGAGTTAAAAAAGTTGTTTATAAGAAATGTAGCTTATATAAATGTGTAAAGTTATATTAAGTGTTCAGTTTGTGATAAATATAAATTGTATAGATTCATAGTATAATTGTTTGTAATAAATGAAGTCAATAATGAAAATTTATCCTCTGTTTAATATTATCAGCTAGTTATTGTTATCAAAACTTGCAAGTCTCAAAGTGATCGTAATAAGCAGATGCCCACTATTTTCCTCTCACTCATATTAAGACATATGATGTTATATGTGCAAATTTTAAATTACTGGCTAGGTCTCCACATCCCTACTGTAAGAACCCATAATACATCATGCTTCTTCATCCCATTTTTTTGCCTTTCTCTTTCACAAAGATTTTTTTTTTACTGTATAGCATCTCACATACAGCCTGTTGAACCTTACCTATATTGTGATTTTAATTTTTTTAAAAATAAATGTAAATCTATTTTATATAATATTTAATGTAACTGTTGTTTTACTTTGATTAAAAACCTACTACTGTGAGGTAGGAATAAGGACTTATCACACCAGTGATAATAAGCACAAACACTCAAAATATCAATGGGATACATTTAATAAAACGAGAATGGGTGTACATTACAAACTATTAAATTAATAATTGACATGAAATAACCAAAATGCATTTCGGACTATCGGAATAGTCCCTCTTCAGTTGGTATACATATATAAAAAAAGGTGAGATACTTAGAATTATACAAGACAAAGAAACCGTTATAAAAGTATGATTATTGAGTAATAATTGGGTGTAGAGGAACAGGCTTAAGGTGGCTTCATTATGTTAAATGGTAGCTTGACATGAGGGATACTATTATAAACAGTATTAAAAATTAGTGAGATAATATGATGATTGTTTTACAAAATAAGTTAAATCTACATACCATAACAGTAGTAAGCTGGAGTTTGAAGGTGGTATTGCTACAAGATGTAGAACAGTTATGAGAGAGGTGTGTTACAGGCAACATCTGGGGAACAAGTGGTGACAAACAACTTAATGGCCAACCTTCATTACATCACTTACCAGCCAGATGTTAGTATTAAGACAATAGATTTCATCATTATATATATGAGGGTCTGTGCTCAAATATCAACTGGGATCTAGGCAAATTATTCTATAAATTAAATATAAAGGAAATTGC